CGGTGGGGGTGAGGGGGACGGGAGCCGGTGAGACGCGCAGCCCCTGGCACGGGCGGTGGAGGCACGGTGGGTGCTGTAGTGTGTGGTAGTACCCGAATTTGGTGCTGGCTCTGTGCTAGTAAAAGAGCTTTGTGTGGGCAGGGTCATCGAGCATCGCTCATGGTTTCTTCTGCTAAACCCCAAAGTGCAGAGAGTCATTTTAAATGTGATTATTCTTTATTTTTTTTAATTTTTTTTTTTTGGTCCTCCCTCTGGGAAAAGAAATCCATAGGTGCAGGTCTTCAGCTGGAGGTGAGGGCGTGCGCTTTGCTCAGCTGCTGCGAGCTGGATGGGTGCCCGAGGGCTGAGCATCGCTCTGCCGGCAGCCAGCCCCCAAGCCTTGCGGCCCCAGCGGGAGCTTGCTCTTCGCTCCGGAGCCTGTAAATAAATCAAATAAAATAATCATCCTGGTTGCAAACACAAAGCATGTTTTTTTTTTTTATTTCCCCTCCCCCCCCAAAGCATGTTTTTGTCTGCTGGTGATTGCTCACTATTCAATTATACTTTCGGGAATTAGCATATATTTCCCATCCTGCCTCCTCTCTCATTTGCATTCTTCCAATAGCTCCTCTCTGCTCTTTTCTCCACCTGAAGTCTCTTCCCCCTTTCCTCTGAAAAAGTAAAACTAACCCCTTTGCCTGGGTGACCTATAAAAACGCCTTCACTTTTTTTTCCTTTTTTTTTTTTTTTTCCCCTCCAGTACATATGATGAAAAGCATGAGATCATTGGGATTTTTATAGCCCAATCTGGCAGCTTTTTCAAATAACTTGGATGGTGAGATGTAATTTTAGTTTGGGTCCTTGCCTAAAAATAAAGAATAATTATTAGCACATTAGATGTGGATATTGTAAGTGTTCGAAAAGGATTTAAATTGTTCTACAGATACCGGAGCTGCCGCCCTGCGTCAGCACAGAGGTCTGTGACAGCCCGAGTCCCATCTCTGCGCCGCGCATCCCGAGGAGCTATAAGAAACCTTAACGTGTGTCAATAAATAAATGAGCAATGGGTTGTGCTGGGTGGTACAGGTGGTTCTCTGGGGAAAGAAAAAAAAAAAGCCTAGAGGGTTAATCAGCAATTAACAGGTGAGATGCTGAAGTCTAAAGCAGGAAGGTGAGTTTTGAGTGTTGTATTGGTTATTGGTGATAACGTGGCGATGGTGTCTGTGCATGCTAGCGAAGCCTGGCTATCGGGGAGAGGTGATGCCCGTTACTTAGAGCCACTGAAGGGCTTGGCAAAAGCAGACAGAAGCCAGGCTGGTGTGCCTGGAAGCTTGCTTAGCTTTTTCCAGCTATTTCAATTGGTCTAAAGGTGATCCGGGGCTGCTTAGACCCTGCTCAGAGGGAGGCTCTGGGATGGATGGGTTTGCCGGGAGCAGCTCCAGCAGCGTGTGCTCCCAGTGCATCCGCCCTTGCCGGGAGCCGTGGCCGTGCCCGCAAAAGGATGCACAGGCACCTATTTCGTAGCAGTGGGTCATCTTTGTGTCGTCGGTCGGGAGATGTAGCCTGCAGTGCAACCACCTTGCTCTGGTGATCTGTCCAAATCTCCTTCTGAAAGAGCTCGTGATGTCCTTTGATCCCCAGCGAGGACAAGGAGCATGTCACCTTGCCACAGAGGAGTCCCATTCTTAGCAGCTAATTTAGAGCACTGGGAAGTGGTGCCCTGAAATTGCTTGAACCTTGCCTGGAGGCTCAGCACGACGGCTCCCGAGCCCTTCAAACAAATCTGGGTTAGCAGAGGACTTTGAAGCCAGGGTGCTCTGCTCCCCTCCGCCGTGCCAGACCAGCGGTGCCTCAGACGATGGTCCTGCCCCGGAGGAGGAGATGTGCCGTGGGGCTGGGAGCGGTGACGGCTCCACCTCCATCATATCCACCCGGCTGCGTGGGAGCACGGCTCGTGCTGCTCCGTGTTGGTGGGACAGAGCTGTCGATCCCATTCTGCTGCCAGGAGCCTTCCAGCTGGGCTTGCATCGGTGAGCCCTCGGAAGGAGGGTTGGAGTCTGTGTCCAGCCCAGGAGCATCCCTGGTGTCCTGGAGATGCTCAGCCCCAGCTGGAGTCAGCACTGGGGCTGTAAATGCCTTTCCCCCTTCCTTTTGGGAGGCTGGTTGGACACTGGGTGTTGGGATGCAAGGAGCAAAAGCTTGAAGGAGGGTCTTAGGGTCTCCAGCACAGTGTTGGGCACAGCGTGTCCTCTACGCCGGTGTTTTGGGGAGCGCTGGGTTACCCTGCTCTTGCTGGCAGGTTGCATGAAAGAGATGAAAGCGCCCATGCTCTTCTCTCTCCCACGTGCTGCCGAGTGGCCGTGCTTTATCGCGCTTATTGATTTTGATCTTACAACCAATTTAACAGCGCAGCTCTTCCCAGCCTCTGGGTACTCCTGACTTAATTAAGTCCCTTTTCTGCTCTCCTGTCAGTCCTGTGGGTGGCGGGGGCTGGTCACGGATTGGGGCACAGGGAAAAGGGAAAGTGCCATCAAGGGTAAAAGGTCCCCATATATATCGGGGATAAGCAGCCTCATGCACGGGGAGTTGTGGCTGATGCTGGTGTGATGCATCCCAGCTGCTGCTGGGACTGGGTTTTGCAGCTGACCCCTTGTGCTGGGGAAGAGAGGAAGAGGAGGGTAGGAAAAGGAGTTGAAACAACCTGGTTTGCTCATGTGAGAGCATTTCTGCTGCCAGGGTATCCTAGGAAATCCAGCTGACTTTCTGGAGGGGCATGTTGGTACCTGCCATACCTCGGGGAGAGGGGGAGAGAGAGTGCTAATTGCTCAACGCGCCAGAGAGCTGCTCTGGCCTGTAATTAGGTGAATTAGTGGAACAATGACCCACTTTCCCTCAGTTTTTGGATTGCTGCAAGCAGCCCTGAGGTTGCTGCCTTTCTCTGTCCCGCTCTCCTCTCCTTCCCCTCCTCTCCCATCCCCTGCTCCTCCACTGCAGCCCTCCCTCCTCCTCCTCTTCCTCCTCACCCAGCACCCTGGGGACCGACCCCGGATGGGAGAGAAGGCCATGAGCTCCAGCACCACCATCTGTGCTCCTATGGCTTTGCCGGCATCCCCAAGCCGCAGCAGCCCCGTCCCCCCCAGCACGTACAGGGGCCCTCAGTATTTCTACTGCTGGACTCGACGTGCACCAGCTCCCTTCTGCCCCAATTGGTTTTCCAGAGATGGGCTAGGAAAAATCTTTGTGTTTTAAAAGAAAACCTCTGGAGTCCTTCCTGTGCCTGCCGGTTGCCTTCCAAGGTCATCAAACTTTCATTACTATAGATTTTTGAATGCGTGTGAGGTTCTCAGCTCCTTCTCGGCAATCCCAAAGGTGGGCCTCCAAGGAAGCTCCATGTGTGGAAAAAGGCAGAGCAGCTGATGGCCGGGGGTGCTGCCAGGGGACCCCCGCCTCTGGGGCACCATCTCCGGTCCACGTTCCGCTTGCCTGGAAGGGAGGTTAAACCCATGCAGCCGTGATGAGCGCAGCATCGGCAGCGGTGAGCCCCCTGAGTGTGATTGCACGGCGTAGGTGATGGCCAGTGCTGCGGCACGGGGCTATGGGGGGCTGCCAGGGCTGGGTGGCCCCTGGGTGGCTTTGGCTGACCAGAGTGGCCCATGAGCTTTGGTGCTGGCATCAAAAGGGCTTTGCGAGGTGTTGGATCTTTGTCCCTGCCTAGGGAAGTGGTCCTCGTGGCTTCCCCTAGCCTGGCGCGACAACACGGCTCTTGGCACTGGGGTGGCCGAGGGCTCTGCCCAGGGTAACTCTGCTCTCTCCCTGTCTGCCCGCAGCATCCTCGCCACTGCTGGGACACACTTCAACACCCACGTGGACCTACGGACGCTGCGGGCAGTGCGTGTGCTCAGACCTCTGAAGCTTGTCTCGGGCATTCCCAGTAAGTTGAATGATCCTGGTCCTCATCCTGGGGTGTCTGCATCCATCCCTGATGTCCTTCAGAGTGAGCGGGGTCCTCGTGCCACCTCGGAGACGTAGGGTGCAATCAGGGAAGAGGGGGACAAACCTCCCCATGGAGCAGGGATCGTGCGTGCCATCTTCCCAGCCACCCTTTGGGTAACCCACAGGGGAGGGGACTCAAGGATGGCAGAGTTTGGTGTCCCCGGGTGGCATTTCCCCCTACCCAGCCCGCTCTGTGCTGGCACAGGGCTGGTCTTGGTGGCTTGCTGGGGCCTGCCAGTGGCTCCACTTCTCTGGCCAGAAGGCAGTGGGCGGATCCCTTCAGGACTGAGGTTCAGTCAGGGGGGATTTTGGTTGTTTTTGCAAGATTTCATCTGCCGACATGGAGATAAATAAAGAAACTAGGCTGCTGCCAGCACCGGTCCTCCCATCCCTCCTGCCCTGGGCACCAGCTGGGCGGTTTGCTGGATCTGTGCCTTGGGAGGAATGAGGAGGACAGAGCTGGACGGGCCATGTCCCACCAAGTCCAGGTGGGACAAGGACAGGCAGGACACCAGAGGGGGGAACCAGATCCAGAAACCAGCCCTCCTGGAGCCTTGCTTTGCAGCCTGGCCCTCCCTGCTTCCCCTGGGATGGTGCTTTCCTCCGTGGTCCTCAGCTTCCCAAAGGGATCTTCTAGGCTGTGCTGGCGTCTTGCATCTGTCTGATACCTGTCCTTCCTCTCTGCTCGATGTCCTCCTCTTCCCAGAGGTGGGCTGGACGTGCCCCAGGCAGTGGGTTTGCATCACCCTGCTGAGCTGTGCTCTTTCTCTCCTCTCCTAGGCCTGCAGATTGTGTTGAAATCCATCATGAAGGCCATGGTGCCTCTTCTCCAGATCGGCTTGCTGCTCTTTTTTGCTATCCTCATGTTTGCCATCATCGGCCTGGAGTTCTACAGCGGGAAGCTGCACCGAGCCTGCTACACAAACAATTCAGGTGGGGAGAAGGGCTCTGCACCCACAGGTGGAAAACAGCTGGGACAAGTGCATGTTGCTATCGTGGGAAGCCCAGGGCCAAAAAGATCCTGCGTTTTGCTTTGTGAGCACCAGCCATCACCTGGTTGCGTTCAGGATGTCCCAATTTCTTATGGGACCGGTTTGTGTGCAGCCAGGGCTGGTCCCAGTGGGGTCCCCTGCTCTGCCCCAAGCCTGTCTGCGTTCAGGCTCTTCCCCTCGCCTGTCCCCTGCCTCTCTCTTACCTCTGCCTCCTTTGGCTCTCTGCTGTGTGCTTCCAGGTGAACTAGAGGAGCTGGACCCCCCCCATCCATGTGGGGTGCAGGGTTGCCCCCCAGGCTACGAATGCCGGGAATGGATCGGTCCCAACGATGGGATCACGCAGTTCGACAACATCCTCTTTGCTGTGCTGACCGTCTTCCAATGCATCACCATGGAAGGGTGGACCACAGTCCTGTACAATGTGAGTAGTGCTGCTCTGGGGTCTTTTTGGGCAGCTGGGCATGGGGATGGGAAGCCAGAGATGGTATTTCTGTGTGCTGGAAAACAGTAAGGTCCTGAGTTTCCTTTGTGATGGGGACGGGGTCGGTCCTTCCCATTTGGGCAGGAGATGGGGGAATAGAGGGATGCATTACATGTTTCCGGGTAAAGGGAGCTCTAAAGGCTTGGCCCCCATCTCTGGGCTGGTTGTACAATTCATTGCAGAGAACAAAACCTTGTGGGCACAAGCTGCAGCAAACCTCCTGCTTGAGGGAGGCTTCCTTTCTTCCCTCCTCTTCCTCCTGTGCTCCCCGGGGCAGCTCCATAAGAGTGGACGTGGTTTCTGGGCATTGTGCATCCGCTCTCCCTGCAGACCAGGCAGCGGATGTGCCTGCATCCCCGCGGTGGCCTGGGAAAGCCCCGGAGCTGGGCTCGAACCCCCTCCCTGGGGCAGGGGCAGCGTTTCGATGTCTGACAAGGAGCTCAGATCTTTTGTATTCATGCTGCAAACATCTGTCGGTGCTGATGAAGCAGGGAATGGCTGGGCTGGGTTCCTGTGGTTTGCAGCCCCTTGAAGTTGCCGATGTCTGAGCCTTTGGGGTGCCCAGGGAGCAACTCGAGGGCAAAGCTGGAAGCAGGAAAAAAGCTACAGGTGATCACAAAGTGCAATATTGTTGTGAGCGATTGGCCATATACGTATGTTTTAGTTTATGGGCTAGAAGCAACTATGCCAGTTCTGTTCCCAGCCTAATTTCAGCATCAACTTCAGCGTCATTGCACCGGGAATGTTTTTATCGCCTGGTTCCCAAAACGCCTGGAGATTTGCAGAGTGGCGTTGCTCTGCAGGAGGCAAATTGAATGGCTTGTGATGGGGAAACACGCTTCGATAGTTACTTTGTCATGAGCAGAAAGGCTGTTTTTTTTAATGCGAGGTGAAGGCACCGTGCTGCCAGCATTGGGGTCCCTCTCCTGCTCAGTCCATCCCAGGGTCCTTCTGGGGGTGCAGGATGGCATGTGTGGGTAGACGGACCATGAAACCTAGACTGGGGTAGAAAGGGGAGAGTTCATGGCAAGGGCTTGCCCTTACCATGAGGATTTGGTTTTCTTCTTCCTAAAGGAAACGGCAGTGTCAGGATCTTGCTGCTTCAGTGGAGGAGTGAGGCAGGATCGAACCACCTGGGTGTTCAGACTGAAAAAAGACAATTTCTTGGCTGCTTCTGGTGTATCAACGAGATTAGAGACTTAACTACAGCGCCTATTGCCCGGGTATAATTGAGTATAGCAGGAAAGGTGATTTGACCTGCCTGGCGGTGTGGTTCCCTGCCTTGAGTGTGGCGAGGCAGCTGCCGCCTGCTCACACCGCCGCACCGCAGCCCCTGCATCCCCGACGCTGCCCGTGCCTGGCACCACCAATCTGCCCCGTACCTCGGTTCTTGTGTTACTGACCATCGCTCTGCAAAAGCCAGGGGCTGCTTCCATCGGCGCTCCCCGTGTCCCCTCCTCCCCATCCTTCGGTGCCCGCAGCAATTAGCAGCGGTGCTCTCCGTGCTAGGGACCCGGTTGCGGTGTGCAAGGACAGGCAATTTATGGTCTGATCGACCTCGAGGGTTTGTACTGGCAGTTCCTGAGAAAGTCTGGTCTCCTGCTGTTTTAGGGTGTCCTTACTGGGAAGGTTGGAGCTGATCCATTTGATATCTGGGATTTGCTGATCCACCGTCTGGATTGTACCAGGGGGTAAGGGTGGGAGGTGCTGCTGGGAGCACTGATAACCATGATCTGCAAGACCTATCCCATGGGATCTCCTGTTTACCACCATACCTGCTAAATCAGGGGCTCTCTGGGTCACCTGGGGCGCCAC